CAGGAACCAAAGACTAAAAGAGTATAGGTAGAATTGGATTGTAAAAATTCAAATCAACATATATTTTCTAAGTACTTCCTCCTTTTGTTTTCTAGAATCCACATAATGTGATTTTGGAACTGATTAAATGAAATACAAATATAAAATACGAAGAAGCGTACCTTGATCTCGCAATTCAGATGATGGTAGAACAGCTAGAATACGGAGGCGCAGTGGAGCAGGGTAGACGTGTGAGACAAAAATATTGTGGGGTTGCAGTCGGAGCAAGGGGAGCAATTCGATTAGGTTTATTTTTCCTTTTTGAAAATATTAGACCTAAGGGTGGGTTAGAAAGGATCGCACGGAAATTGTTCATAAAATGAGTAAAATATATTAAATCTATAGTGGCATACGATGGAATTTTTTAAGTTACAATAAAATATTTAGTAGCATATAATAATTTATATTATATAAACTTTATAATTTTCAGAGGTAATATATATTTTACTTTCATTAATAAGTATGGATATTAGTGTCATAAAATATTAAGTCACACTAAATTTATTAATTTCTATAGTGGCATATAAAATATGTCACTAAAAATATATTATAGTGACATAAAAATAATATGCCATTAAAAGTGTATGCTACTAAATATCATTTTGTGTGTAGTGAAACTTATCCAAGTTGGAGAATGTTAGATTAAGGTGTCTAAGCCAATAATTAAATTGGTATATTGTTGAACTAAGATCAAATTTATTTTTTAGTCGCCCTCATAACTAGTAACTGAATAAAATGATATTTGGAGAGAGATAGATTTATTAATTTATTATATGATTATTAAATTAATTAGAAATAAAAAAAAATATTAATATATTATATGAATTGATCAATAATTAATTATAATTAACTTTGTGATTAATTAGATTAAATGAAAATATAGGAACTGAAGATGACAATGATTAAAAATTGAGTATTTAAAGAATTTCACAACCTTTCCAAAGAGGGGACAATTATGGAGGAGGGTTCCTAAAATTTCTAGGAGCCTAATGAAGAAAGAAAATGGATAAAAGTTGTCTAAGGATACATGTCTTCTCCAAGCTTCCTTACTCACCTATATAAACCCCTTAAGGGGTTTATTATTTTTGTCCCATTCTTCAACCACACAAGAGCCAAAATTTCTCTCCTTTCTCCTCTCTCTTAAAATCTTATAGTTGCTAGGGTTTTAGATACAAGCTATTAGAGGCATCCAAGCGTTTGATACTTGCTTCCTATGAATTCAAAGGATTTTTTACTTGATTAATTGCTACATTAATCAAAAGGTACGTAAAGATAAATTATTTTGTGATTTTTTAATGTTATTAGGGTTTCGTAGAGTTTCTTGATATTCACTATTATCAACAGAGAAGACATAGATCTTTTCTATGTTGCATGTGCGATATGGAATTTTTTATAACCAAGAAAACCCATCAAAATACTAAGGACAAGTTGCTTGTAGACAATAGAGAACATAACTAACAAAATCTTTATAACATGAATTTTTAGCGATGGCTCTAAGTCATAGCTTGAATGGACATTTATTTGGAATTGTAGTGTGATAACATGAAATGTTTAATGTAGGAGATGGTGATAGACTTAGCTTTTATTTAATATTACATTAATGGACATGGAGTATCTAAAGAGCATACATGGACAAAAAAACTTCATGGTTAACTAATGATCATTGAGACCACAAAAGATCAATGCATATAAGGAAGAAATTCCACTACATGAAATAAAAGGGTTGCGAATGGAGATCTAGTTGTGAAATGAGTATCTTATTGATGATTCGTTTACAATAGTAACGACCAAAGAAAACATGATATACATGGTGAAGAAATATGCACGAGAAATGATTGACAATTTTAATTGTTAATTTAATTACCCCGAATAAAAAAAATAACAAAAAAATAGTTGAAAATAAAAATAATTTAATTACCCCGAATGAAATATACATGATGTTTATAGCGTGTTTATAATAATAATAATAATAATAATAATAAAATTATAAAAAAAGACAAGTAAATAACAAAAAAATAGTAGTATGTGATTGTTATTAAGGTGATAAATGGTAATTAGAGAATTTTTTTTGGTGTTAAATGGGTAATTAGAGAATTTTTTTGGTGGTGTTGGTTAAGTAGTAACCAAAATACATATAGTAGCACGTATTTTAAAAATAAAAATAATTTTTGTAGCAAATCTTTGATAAATTTATTAAAATTAAAATATTATATTATACTTATTATTTTCACTCATATGACTCATATAAGTTATCAATTATGACGGTGTACCATTCATGAAGGTACACACAAATTTAGAGCACATATTGAATTACCATAAAAAAAAAAGATAATTTTTTTGATTGATTAGATGTTTGATAGATGAAGGATGGGTAAAAAAATCATTTTTTTTTTAGATTTAATTTGCTATTTTTTAATTTTTGTTCAAATATATATATATATATATATATATATATATATATATATATATATATATATATATATATATATATATTAATTTTTATATTATCTAATTGTTTATTTTTGTTTTTATATTTTACAAAATCTTTTAATTTTTTTGACACTTTGTTCGTTGTTTAATATTATTTTTATTTTTAGTTTAAATAAATTATTTTTTTACGTTTTATTCATTAATTTTTTCTGCTTTGTTCAAATGTTCTTTTCTATTTGATTACGTTTTATTCGAACATAGTGTTGTTTTGTTTTATATATTTTGTATGTTTTTATATATTATTCACCACCATTTTGACCAAATAAATAGTAAATTACAGTTGTGTTTAAATAAAATGGTGAATAAATTTTTTTGACGTTTTGAGAGATATATATATATATATATATATATATATATATATATATATATATATATATATATATATATATATATATATATATATATTTGTTATTTTTCATAATATATTTTTATATGGTTTTGGATAGAATAAGAAAACACCAAATTTTAAAAAATATATATATAAAAAAAATTAAATAAATAAAGAAACAAATTTATTCTAACCAAAGAAATGGTTATAAAAGTTTTAAAAAATGGGAAAATGACATAAGTGCCCTACAAAGTTTCTAGGATTGACCCTTTAAGTCCCTAAATATATTTCGTTTCTTTATAAGGGAACGAATTGATATTTGTCTGGTCGATTAAGTCCCTTTTTCAGCTTTGAAGGGGTAAACCGATAACATTTTTGCTAGTTCACCACATATATGTTGACTGTGGCATTGACCAAGAAACATTCGTCATTAAAGCACTCCCTCACCCATTATGCGTTGTTAAACAATTTTTTTAGTTTTGACATCACTGTCTCTTCAATGAAACCGATTTAGTGGTATATTAGGATGGAGAAGCTCCATCAACACCACCAAGCCGAGAAGTGATTCTTATCTTCCTGGTTCTTCTTTGAAACCATGGAAGCAATGGAAAACGGGTATGACACCAAACCTGCTAATCTCCAAATCGATTCAGAAATCCACAACCCTAAGAGTTTGAATTCGGGTCGTGGACTTCAATTTAAGCCTTCCGCAGTTCAGAAACTCATTAGCCACCAGTTCCACCAAACATAACATGAAATCGAGAGTTTGAAATCGTTACTCTTCGTATCCAAACAGTTTAATCAAGAAGACGAAGATAGATGTCTTGTAGAAACCCCAATTGAAGAAACCATTTACAAGGGGCACAAATTCCCTTGTAGAAGCCCTAATTAGAGAAGCAAAAACCCACAGAAATTGATGTCTTCAATTGGAGGAGGACCTACGAACAAACCACCGATCACCCTCAACTAGAATCCAGTTGATTGGGTCTTAGGCCAAGGAAATTTAGCAAGATCGTTGTCCATGACGATGAAGATACTAATAACCGCTAAATGTGGGTAAAAGTCTAGATGAATCCATATATGTTTAGAGGAAGATCTCAAAACGTTTTATGATCAGAAAATAGACAAAGGAGCATCAAAGATTGTACATGTGGCAAACTAAACCTTTTAAGTTTGACTATTTGGTTGGCTACGTACATGTGGCACACTAAACCTGCTACTTCAGGTATTGGGGACTAAAAAAGCAGGTTGCTCACCATTTTGTGCCATTATAAAGCCATGAAATTAATTTAGGGATTTAAAAGGTCAATTCTAAACAGTTCGTAGGGCATTTGTGTCATTTTCCTTTAAAAAAATGGGATAAAGATTTTTGAAAAAAATCTAAATATCTTGATTTGTGAAACTTGCATCTTTATAACTTAAAAATAAGTAAGTTTTACGAATAAAATATGGGATTTTCTAATATGTGCTTTAAGGGCACATATAAAAAGTATTAATTAATCACAATTATTATATAATTAAATGTAAAATGCATTAATTATAGAGATTATTAATGAATTTTATATTTAATTATGGTAATATTTCTTATAATTAATGTTTTTAACATTTAATTATGGTAATAATTATGATTAATTAATATTTCTTATATGTGCCCTTAGAGTACATGTTAGAAAATCTGATAAAATATTTATCCGACTAATTCAAAACTAATCAAAAGCAAATAGGTGGAAGCTATGAGGCCCCACACCAAAGAAAAAAAAAAACTTAAGTAGCATACCTAAAACTACATGACCTTCTCATCCACTCTACGCACGCCTTACTAACTCATGTACGTCTAAAGCATATCCAAAAAACGAAGGTTGAACAATGTGGTGATACAATTCATCAAACCTAGGCGTACGCTTTGCTCGTTACATGACACAACTAGCTGATTCTGGCCTAACTATTCTCCATGAAGATGAAGACAGGGGTATTCATGTCCACGTCTCACCTTGTTCCAGATTTTAAACTATGAAAAAGAATTGCAATTTTGATCCCATAGACATAAATCTCTATTCAATACACACCAAACATAATACTACACTGCCATTAATCAAACTATTACGTCATGTCTTGTTAACAAGTGACACCCTCGAGCAAAAGGTCAAAGCTTCAAAGTAAGATCGGGTGTAGCCGATGAACAACCATCATCAATGATATTCCGGAAGCTATCATACCAAACCCGTTTAGCTTCATCCACCTCCATGTATACGGGGATCCCAAGATAGCTGTGGTCAAAGATTTCTTGACATCTAATGGCTTGAACCGCTTGATGTAACTGAGACGCAGATCCATGAAGAGGTAACGATGATCCATGAAGAGGCAGACATGCCAGGCTTTCATATCTTTCCGATAACATTTTCAACGTCATGGCTCTCTTTTCCATCCTCCTCTCTTCTTTGTGTGCGTTCTGATGCCCTCCCAATGCCTGTGAGCTGTAGAATTTGCGTTTACAGTAATTACACGAGAAAAGCTTTACTGTGGTGTTGGTGAAGCCGAGGGTTAGGTCGAGGGTCATGGGTGGCTCAATGCGAAGTGTGGGATTAGTGATCAGGCGTGAACAAGGGGTGGTGATTTCGGATTCAACTTCAGCTTCGAATAGGTTGTTTGAAGGTTCCATATCTTATCAATGATTTTCTGACGACGATGTTAATCCTGCATGCAAAAGCAAATTGGATAATTAATAGGATGTTAACAACTCGTGTGGGTTAATTAATTGCAACTTATGGTTCTTGCATGTATGTCCAATATAAAAAACAATAATAAATATATGTAATAGGCACGTTTGTACGATGTTGTTCAGAGATATATTGGCGTTTTCACCAAAAGAGTTCATATATTAGCGTAAACAATGAGAAATTTACTTTTCATTTGCTTCAATGGGTAAAAGATGTTAAAGTTCGATTTTTTTACCTTTTTTGGAATCATAAAAAAATTATGGATTTCTTGATATATGCCATGCATAACTTGTACTTGCTCACGTGATTGAAACCTAAAGTTACCTTCTACTTGCTTATGTGATAGAAGCTTATTATAAACTACAAGCGCCAAGTTCAACACAAAACTTAAGCCTGTTTTCAACGTACTTCATCAAACACACATATGAAAAATCATTAGAAGTTTCATAAAGAGAAAGGAGTCAACCCAATTCACAATCGACTTCCATCAAATATATGGTTACTTATCCATTATTTCTAAAAATCAAATAAAGAAATGCATATTTAATTTAAAACACAACACATTCAATAATCCACGAGGATGAGAAAAGGGGTTGCACACCTCTGGTAGAGCGGTAGCACTATAGCTCGATTGATTTCCTAACTGCTCATTGCTCAATATGATTGTTAGATTGAAAAAGACTGGTGGTTATTTTCTAGGTTTTGCGAAATATAGGGTAGAGAAGAGAGACATATAATATCGAAGGAATTACTGTTTGGAGAGAGAGAGAGAGAGAGAGAGAGAGAGAGAGAGAGAGAGAGAGAGAGAGAGAGATAATATCGAAGGAATTACTGTTTGGAGAGAGAGAGAGAGAGAGAGAGAGAGAGAGAGAGAGAGAGAGAGAGAGAGAGAGAGAGAGAGAGAGAGAGAGAGACCTGAAAGTGAAAGAACATCCGATTTTATTTGTTTGGTACTACTCTTTTTGTATTTCAGGTGAAGCGCATGATGATCCCCAAATATTCGAATTCATATTTATTCTTAATATTTTTACTTGTTTTTATTTTATTTATTTACTTATTTATTTGTTTTTTTCTTGTTGAACGAGGATAACTAAAGACAACTCCTGCTCATTTTGATATCGCTTAAATATTAGACTTTTGATAAAATTTATTTAGTTACAGATTACATTTTTAGGTTTTCCTCTTAAAAAAAATTAGTTTATAGAATTTATTTAATTGTATCATCCAAGATTTCATACCCATTTAGTAATAAGTAATGGTTTCTGTTTTACTTTCTTAAAATTATACTTAGTTTTCCCTTAGCTTCTTGCTAGGTGGGTTTTCTTTTCTTTTATTTATATATCTCTTTTTTGCAGGTTAAAAAAAAAAGAAAATTAAAAAAGTAATGAATATTTAAGGACACTAAAGAGCTATTTTTTGAGTATGTGTAAGATTAAAGAACTTAATGCAAAGAAGAATGTTCAAAGGGATATACTTTGAATTTGAGACTTCATTTCCATAGAATTTTTTTCCATTGGAATACTTTGTAATGTTTGTTGCCAAGTCTTTGTGACTTGTGTGCATATTCATTAGAAGATGATCATTGCATATAAATTTAGATTCTAACAAATTATAGTAAATGACAAGAATTTGGTATTCTTACATTTACAATAAGGATTGGAATTGTGAAATAAGCATCATTGAAATGTTGTCAATCAATCTGTTTCACAAAGAGAGGACCATATGTAAATATAGTGTGCATACTTGGAGTATGACATAGGTATTGTTTGGAAAAACATAGTGTGCATGCTTAGAGCATGGCATGACTATTGTTTTAATTCTAGTATTAAGTTGATTAATTGAAACATGAATAATGAGTAATTAATATGGTGCTTAGATAAAAGGGTTTTTATTTACACTCAAGTGTTTGGGGCCATATAGGATTAAGTATTTTTCTTGTGTTTCACTTTGCATGTTTTAACTTTCAGAATAACTAGGTCATTCTTCCCGAATGACTAAGTTATTCAAATCGTCCATAGTTGGTCATATGTTGGAAGTAGATATGAATCAAGAATATCATGAAGTTGGCTTGTATGATTTGTCTAATGTGCATTAGACATAGCAAGAGTTACTACAACATTCATGAGTGCTCATAAGTTCTGAGTATTTGATTCAAACCACGCTCATTTAAATCACTTCATGGATTTTATCACGAGTGAATCATGAGATGATAATATCTTATATTCTTCAAACCTAGAGATATGAGTTGTTGACCATGAGTTGGTTATAAATTGATTGCACAAAAACGCATTGGTAACTCGATGTTATAAAACGTGCCTTTGTGTATGATTCAACAAGTAGTCAGCAGAAGCATATGAGTCGAATTTTTTCCATTCCTTTTACCCTTAATGGGATAAAAGCGATATATGTGAGCCCCTCGATGATTTAGTGATGACAAAACGTAAGTGCCCGGTCGGCCTGGATTGATTTGATTTGTTCAATTAGTCAATTGTCATAAATCGGAAATCGGGAAACAACAAATCGACAGAGAGAATGACTATAATCCATGTATCAATCCATATGATATCTAGAATGGAGGAATATATGATCACTTATCTAATAGACGTATTGTTTGATTTGCTTAGAGTTCGACAACGACTTTAAGAGCTACGATTGCTAATCGGGTTATGAAGTCGTACTTGCAATAATAGTTTTAGACTTATCCAAGTGGGAGATTATTGGATTAGATGTCTAAGCCCATAACTATTATTTGTATGTGCTTGACCCAAGAGTCGCATGGTCCATTTGGGTTGCATATCATCAGGTCAATTTTTTAGGATTGACTTTTGAGAGAAGATGTTGGATATGATTTATTAATATATTATAAGTTATACTATATTAATATGAAATCATGTGTTTTAATTAGTATTGATCAAGAATTAATTTAGTAACCAAAATAGACTAATTAAATCTATAGGGACTAATTATGTTAATTAGTTATATTTATATGTGTTGGGCTTATGATCCATGTTGGAACAAGTTTATGTATGGATACATGAAGAGTTGGGCCACATGAACTGTGGATCATAAGACCCATGGGCATGGATTTAGGTTATATCCATGACCTTAGAAATCCCACATATAAATACATACTTCATTGCCCAAAATCGCTACTAGTGCATTTCTTGTAGTTCATGGTGGCTTTTGGGTACATGGAGATTCTCTCTCAAGTTCATTCTTTGTCCATGATGCGTTGTGATTCCACTTAAGGCTTCCACACTATTTGGGCTATGCTCTTAAGGCTAGATACATCAAGACTTCAAGCTCCTCCATAAGGTATGTTATCCTTACTAGATTCTTGTATAGTATATAATATTTGTATACTAGTATAGGGTAATACCTTGGAAACTTCATATTTGCATGTATAATAGAGAAAACATAGATCCAAGGTATTTAGGGTTGCATGTACACCTTAGGAGTGTTAGAATGCTCGAAACCCATCACAAGGACCAAAACAGCCTTGGGGACCTAAATTCTTTCACTGATTGAAGGTGTTGAGTGACGAGCAATATGATGATAAATGTTATATCGATGGTGGTTGTTCTCATCACATGACTGGGAAGAAGGAAAATTTGAGAGATTTTCGAAGTCTAGAAAATTTTGGTGGAGTAAAGTTTGGCAACAATAATAAATACAAGGTTAAAGGTTATGGTAAGGTAACAAATGGTAAGTTTACACTTAACATGGTTGCATATGTCGAAGGTCTTCAACACAATTTAATAAGTGTTTCGCAACTTGTTATGGGAACTGACAATCAAGTTGTTTTTGACAACGAATGAAGTGTCATATCGAACAAAGAAACCAAATAAGTTCTTCTAAAATCTAAACGAAAAGGCGATATGTTTACACTAGACATAAAACCCATTGTCGGTATTTTGTCAGTTTGTCTGCTTTTGAAAGCTTCTTCTGACATAAGTTGGCTATGGCATCGAAGACTCTCTCACTTGAATTTTAAGAATTTGAATTAGTTGGTGATAAATGATTTTGTTTGTGGTTTTCCAGTTTTAAAATTTGACAATGATACTTTATGTGCACCTTGCGAACAAGCAAAACGACAAATACAAGGACATCCAATTGTTATTAATTCCAAAATTATCGAACCTTTAGAACTTCTTCATATTGACCTTTTTGGTCCTTTAATAGTTGAAACAGTCAATAAGAAGAGGGACATTTTGGTTATTGTTGATGATTTTTCTAGGTTTAGTTGGGTTTATTTTTCTTCGTTTAAAATCAAAAACAACTCAAGTGATGATTGATTTCATCAAACATGTCGAATTGAATATGAAGAAAAGAGCTCTTAAGATCAAGAGTGATAATGGATCTGAGTTCAAGAACAAACTCCTTGATTCGTTCTTAACTATCAAAAGGAATTTCGCATAATTTTTCTTCTCCTTACACACCACAACAAAATGGTGTTGTCGAAAGGAAAAATCGTTCTCCTTGCAACATGAACAATGTTGACTTATGCGAATCTTCCACAATATCTTTGGGCTAAAGCAGTTCCGACAACTTGTTTTACTAAGAATTAGTCTTTTATTCATCGTCGATTCGATATCAACCCATATGAAATCATTAACAATCGAAAACCAAATGTTAAATTTTTTCATGTTTTTTATTGCAGATGCTTCAGTATGAATCTTAAGGATATTCTTTCGAAAATTCAGTCCAAGGCTGATGTAAGAATATTCTTAGGATATTCTCATCATTCGGTGGCGTACATGGTGCTCAATAAGAAAACCAGGAAAATCAAAGAAACATTTAATCTTATCTTTGATGACTACTATGTCAAAAGAGTTGAAAAATGCTTTAAACAAAACCAATCATAAATGAATCAAACGATGAAACTGAAAGTTGGAATTCTTTTGATTTTGATTATGATTTAATTTTTGGTGTTCCTGATAGG